GGGGGGGGGGCCGGGGGTGGGCCGTTGGGTGAAAGAGCGCGTGAAGGGGCGAGTCCGTGCCGCTCGCTCCCCGCGGGTGGGGTGAGGTGGGCGGGCGGGCGGAGCCGGGCCAGGCAAGGCAAGGGAAGGGGGCGATGCCGACTCAGCGCGAGAGCGGCAGTAACAGCGGCGCCAACAGCACCATGTCTCACCCGGGCCTCGGGGGCGGCGGCGGCGGCGGAGGAGGAGGCAGCACTGGGGGTCTCGGCGGCCCCGGTGGAGACACGGCCGAGCAGGTCCGCGTCAAGGCTTACTATAAGGGGTAAGTAGCCCGGTTGGCGGGAAAGGAGGACGGGAGCGGCTGTGGGCGAGCGGGTAGGTGGGTGGGATCCTGAGGGGATGGAGAGAAATAATGGACCCTTGCTGGAGAAGGGAGACGGGCGAAGTCGAGAGAGGGTGTCGCCTTCACTGCGGTGGGATTCTGGGACTCGGATCGACTCAGACCAAAAATAAATGAGGTTTGGATTCACTAGGGCTTGTTAGCTTGTGGAACGCCCTGCCACAGGAAGAGATGGGAGCCCAGAGCTCGCTTTAAAAAGAATTAAACCTGCTCTCAGTCAAGTTTCCTGGTAGGAGCTACCCACTCTGATGGCTACAATGGGATCTCCGTGCTCAGAGGCATTGTTCTCTCTTGAGTACAGTATTGCGGTGGGAGGCACTGGGGAGAGAAGCTGTGGCTGTCGTGCCCGGTTTGGGAGGCATTGGGTTGGCTGTCATTGGAAGCAAGATGCTGCACTAGGGAGATCCTTGGTAGGATTCAAGCGCGCTCTTCGCCTTGTATGTCTAGGAAAGAGTGTGGGAATTGTGTTTCTTCAGACCTTGAAGCTTTTCTTTGAAAAAAGGTTCAGGTGGTAGAGATATTTCTCATGCAGGATCTTGTTCACCCAGTGTTATGGAATAATGATTTTAAAGGCTACTTGTATTGCAAGAAAGCCTGGAGGGATACTGTGTGGTGAAGTCCTAATGAGGGAAATGTTGGGTTTATTGGGCTTGGGAGCACAGGTTGGAGGTGCAGCTGACAGAGATACCAGTATGATGAGTTTTTCCTTGCGTTGTGATGGAGGGTTGGATGGCAGGACACTGCCTGTTCATGGGAACTCATAGAGACATGGGATGGGCAGTATAAGTTTAACCATAAAAAGAGGAATGGAAGGCATCAGGTAAGAGGGAGAAGTGGGGACTGAATTCCAATTTGGAGATTAACTGGTGGTCCTTTCGAGTGAGAATTTAGTCAGTTTCATATTGAGGCAAGTAATGATGACATGAACTGTAAGGAAGAAAATATCTGGATGCAGATTGTCACAGGAACGGTGTATTTCTACGTGGGTGGAGACTGGTATCCATGTGTAGTTATCTTGTTCGTAGGATGAGAAGCATGCTCAAGATCACAATTTTAAAAGTGAATCACAGTGACGCTGTAGGTGTGTATATTCATTTAACTCTCATGAAAGTATAGAAAGACGGAAGCTCAGCTACTGCTTGAAAAAAATAAAGAATTTCGCAAATTGAATGATATATAGACTGAAGTATGCAAAGACTGAATTACTAATCTGTGTGTGGTGCATTACCTTGAGAATCTTTGCTTATGGTTCAAATCAGTTGTGTTTGTATTGATTCATTTCATTCAACATACCTGGGCAGGAAATAAATGCTGATCCTGATTTTTGTTGTCTGCTTTTGGTATAGTTACTTGTCTGCAGTAAAGCATGTAAGGTAATTCATGCGTTTCTTGAAAATCAGTGTGAGGAAGATATACAAAGGCATATTGAATTCATTTAGATGAAATTGAATAAGGTTAGTTCTTTGGATTATGGATGTTGATCAATATTAAGAATGGTATGATTAAGGGGAATATGTGAGCAGGCTCTTGAAGAAAATGCTTTTGTAATGTCCTTCCCTAACTGCTGTTTGTATCTTCTGCACTGCCTATAATAGAGACAGTGAGTCAGTTAAAAAAGAAACAGCAAGTTACAACATATGAACTCTTTGCTTTAACAAGAACAGACAAGTCAATTATTTTCAAAGTAAGCATCAAATCTCTCCTCCTTTCTTTCCTCTTTAGGTATAAATACTATCAAAACACAAATCTGTGCCAAGCAAGAGTGTGACGTAATCACATTTTCCCTCCCAAGTAATGTGTGGTCACATCTGCCATCCGCAGAACTGCATCCTTGGTCAATAATTCAGTTCTTTTGTCATGAAATCATAGAATTACAGACTCTGAGGGTCATATAGTCCATTTACTGCCAATGCCAGAAATCCTTACTAGCACATTCCTGATTGTTGTTAAGTCATGACCCCATGGACCAGAGCACGCCAGGCCCTCCTGTCTTCCACTACCTCCCGGAGTTGGGTCAAATTCATGCTGGTAGCTTCGATGACACTGTCCAACCATCTCATCCTCTGTCCTCCCCTTCTCCTCTTGTCTTCACACTTTCCCAACATCAGGGTCTTTTCCAGGGAGTCTTCTGTTCTCATGAGATGGCCAAAGTCTTGGAGCCTCAGAGCTTCAGGATATGTCCTTCCAGTGAGCACTCAGGATTGATTTCCTTTAGAATGGATTCCTGATAGTCATTCCTTAACATACATTTTATTTAGATTAAAGGGGCTCTACTATTGATTTTATTATTGCCTGATGTACAGACTGGCAGAAATCTTTGACTCAAGGTTCATGCCTGTCTCTAATGGCCAGCCATGGTTCAGTAGTTAGAAGGGTCTTTCCCTCAGCACAATATGCAGAGTGGCTGTTGGTTTTCAACAACACGTTACATTGAACTGATATCTTTTATAACTGTCTTTGGCAGTGTCCTTCAGAACATCATATTAGATAGTCAGCTGTGTAGATTGTGTTGAATTGATACTTTAGTCTAAAATTTGCTAAGAAAAATGTTGTCTGGTAAGGAGCAAATCCCCTTTTCTCTTGATCTTAGTCTCTTCACTGACAGAGACAGAATCCCGTAAGAAAATGCCTGCTGTCTTGAGTTTTTCTAGTACTTGGATTAAGAACAGTTTCCATTAAAAAAAACTGGCATCTAAATAAGGGTCACTTTTTAATAATGATGATGGTGACTAGATATTGCATTCTAGGAAACTGTGCTTTAAATATTGATGTTTTGCTTAATTACATTTTTTTGGAAGAAAAATGTGTTATCTATATGGGAGAAAATTCAATCCTGCTTGCACCAGCTGTTTTTGAAAAGGATATCATGTTTTTCCTTGAGCAAACAGTGGCACCTGGAGATTCAGCTCAGTGAACCTCTCCCAGCGTGTCAGGTTTCACTGCACAGCTGGTGAGATGATGCAGGCAAGAGACAAAGATCTGCATGTCCTGTGGATTTCTGGTCAGCTAAACTTACTCACTAAATAGGCATTTATCTACAGCATTTCCCTTTATTCATTTATTTATTTATTAGATTTTTTTTCTTCCATTCCCAAAGTAGAATCAGATAATTTGCAAATAACTGTTGCTTTCCAGCTGTTTAGGAGGTCTGTGGAATTCAAATAAAGATAGTGTCCACATCTCCCAACAGCAGGATCGTCTTTGTTCTGTGCTGTGAACCTAAACAGTAAGGCTACCCATGTCCTCAGTGACTGTACTGTACTGTATATTACAAATCATAATTGAGCGGGGGTTTGGGCTCAGAGGCTTTTAGGTCCCTTCCAATTTCATGATTCTGTGATTGTATGTTGTAGTTATGTATTGTCTAGTCTTTTTGAAATTATGGCAACCCTAAAAGGCTACATGAGATGTTCAAGGAATTGTTTATTGTTGCCAGTCTCCAGTGAAATTCCATGACTGAGATGGGATTTGAAACCAAGTCCAGCACACTATCTACTACACTGTGCTGGATTTCCTAGATCATTTACCTGTGCTCAAATGTTAGCCAAACAGTGCTGTCTATGTCACATATCTGCTCAGACTCAAGGGCCAAATTTATTAGGACTTAACTCCCAAGTAAATGCATATAAATTTGCAGCCTAAAAGACTGTGTTTCAAAAAGCCTCATTAATCTCACAAGGTTATTTGTATTCCAGTTTAGTTGCTGTATATCAGCTGAAGTTAACTCCCTTAATGCAGAATGCGCTTTTTAAACTTGGCTTGAGAATCAAGGTTGTAGTATAGTGTATAATTGTTTCAAATAAAATGCCTCATGGTTATGGATTCTACTGTGTATAGTGACCTTTTAGTTGCTGGTTGGTGTTCATGTTAATGTGTCTTATTGTGACATTGCTAAAGAATAAAGTGGCACAGGAACTAAAATACTATGTCAGCTCTAAGATGAAGCTATTGCTGTTAATGTAACTGAAGTTTAAACAGATATTACTGTATCTGGACAGTCATTTAACTCAAGTTATTCCTCAGTATGTGTAATAAGCTTTGACAATTACTTTCCACTAACCTAGAATTGTCTGCCTTATATGGCAGGCTTATGATTTTAAAAATCATGTTTCTTGTTGATATTTAACTGTTCAATAATAATAGAAATTATAATAGAACTATTATTAGTTCTGTTATCATAATACGACTGTTTTCCTTCTAATAATAGTTAACATCTTAGAATATTATTTTGCTATAATAAGAATGCTATTGAATGCTAAATAAGAATGCTATTATTGATGCTATTGAAAAAAAGAATAAATAAAAATTATTTTAAAAATTAAATTTACAACTCATTAACTTAAAAAAACTTATGAAACAATTGCATGAACAATCTTGTCAAGTTAAAAAAAACAAGCAGAGAAGGTTCAAAGCAGCCTTCTAAGCAACATTTAGGATGTTCATATTTTGTCATTTCCATATTTGGACATTTCTAATTGAGGCTTGTTTAAATTGTGTAATTTTGTATGTGGGTTAGATTTTGAAAGTCAGAATGAAGTAGTAAATTTCTTTTTTTCCTGTATAAAGATTTGAAAAATAAACAGTATTTAATACATCTTAATGCCACTCTTAATTTTTAAATGTAGATAATTTGGAATCTATGCATGAACACTGGCACAAAAGCATGATATCAGTTGCAAATGGAGAAGAACTGAATGTTTTCACTGTGCTATGTAGTACATGGGAAATGCTGTTTCTCTTGTGTTCTGTTAATGTTTATGTGAAAGTCTTAAGGCAGTCTGTAATTCATTGCTACATCTAGAGCTAAAATGAGTCAAAGATGGAGTTGTCTTATGATCTTGACATAAACAGGTTAGTTAAATGGAATTAGTCATGACGGAAGTATTCTATTTTTTCTATTGTATAATACATTCCTTTATCTT